GCCAGCCATGCTGGCTGGGGAATTCTGGGAGGTGAAGTCCACACAGCTTAAAGCGGCTGAGGTTGAGAAACACTGGCATAAGGAGTTGTATACATCCCTTTCAATGAAATGTGTTAGTCTGCAGACCTGCTACAGACAATCCTATTTCCTTTCTTTTCCGCTCTGCAGAATCAGGAGACGTGAAAGCGACTGTCGCTGTTCTGACCTTCATTCTCTCCAGTGCTGCCAAATACAACGTGGACTCTGAATCTCTCTCCAGTGAACTTCAACAGCTGGGGCTGCCCAAAGGTGAGCAGAGGGCAAGTGGAAACAGGCTAGGCTTTGGGATGGGTGGCTACGGGGGAAGAGAAGCCGAGGAATAGCAGCTGCGGAGTGCTCTTTGCTAAGCCCTTAATACAGCGTTTCCTAACTGTGGGAATTTCCCAGAGTCTGGACTTCAACTCCCAGAATTCCCCAGCCAGCATGCTGGCTGGGGAATTCTGGGAGTTGAAGTCCACACATCTTAAAGTCGCCAAGTTTGAAAAACAAGTTTGAAAAACAGATTCTCATTGATGAGAATTCTGGGAGTTGAAGTCCACATTCCTGGAAATTCCCAAGGTTGGGAAACGCTGCCTTAATATGAATTTCTAATTCGGAATTAGGGCAAGGCCTTTATTTGAAGCGACTCAGTGGGTTGCAAAATCTTTGGGCTGGCTTTCCAGTTCTCAGGGAAAACAGTCAATAAAACAAAATGCATGGGAAGCATTGACATCACAGGTAGCTGGGGCTAAAGATGCTCAGCCGGTGATAAATCTTCAGATGGTCTTAAAACAGTGTGGGGAAAGAGACAGCATCTATTAACATCCAAGCTTTCTCCAGTGCTGGAAAAGTTTCAGCTTTCACCCAGACGTGGTTTTTGAGTTGTTGCTTTTAAAAACATAAACGTTAATGGTTCCTCAGAACTACCTCTATGTGTAAATGAAAGTTATCGGTTAACAGAGTAGAAAACAGAGGGAGAATGAAACTCAGTGCTTTCTGTACTAATGAAGCCGGAGGTAGAGGTAGCATTCTGAATCACACAAAAACTTGCATTCGGGGTTTTTCATTTCTGACTGGCTTAACTTTTAGAGGATGACAGGATTAAATTGGGTCAAACGGCAAGAGGATTTGGACAGGTGGCTTAACTCAGCCTATATCTTGGTTGCAGAGCATGCCACGGGATTGTGCCGGTCCTATGAGGAGAAACAAGGTCTTCTCCAGGAAAGCCTCAGGAAATGCAGCCTGAGATGTAAGTCAATCTTCCTTGCCTGTTGCAAAATGAAAGGTCGCTCGGGGGAAACTGCCTTCTGTGGCTATCTTCCCAGGGTGAGATGCTCTTCCTTTCTTATGGGGAGATTTCTCAGCAACCCAAAGTGCTTGTCGATCATTTGAGGAGCAGTCTGTAAAACATCATCAAGGATGCACTGTCAAGGAATGCACAAAGGTGGGAATTCTTAGATGGGAATTTTCAGAGCACTTAGGAATGTGCTGTTCCTTTTTGGGACTGTGTCAATACTGCCCTTCGCAATAGGGGTTCGCTTCCTAGAACGGTAAGTATTACAGATACCTACTGCCTTCTGTTGGACAAAATGGTAGCGGAATGATCCAAAAGGCTCTTTGAGTTATGGCTGCATTCCTCTACGTCAGTGTTTCTCAACCTTGATGACTTTAAGATGTGTGGACTTCAACTCCCAGAATTCTCCAGCCAGCATAGCTGGCTAGGGAATTCTGGGAGTTGAAGTCCACACATCTTAAAGTCATCAAGGTTGAGAAACACTGCTCTACCTCAACATGTTTTAATTCATCATTGGAAAGGCACATGGTATTCGGTTTCTGGTGCAACTATTTAATTTTTTTTTTTTTAACATGTTCATTTGCCATCTGCATTTCTTCTCTCTTCTTTCGGAGTTGTAAGTAGCAGACCAAAAACATGCGTAAAAAATTAAAAACCATCGTAGATTTTGCAAGTTGCATCCAAGCTGTGGTTGGAGGAATTCCTTGGCCATGCCCCTGATATGGTCAAGAGGACCAGGGTCTTGTGCCTAACCTTTGGGCTCCCTCTGCCTGCAGTGAATTGTCTGGATTCTGTGTCATGGAGAGTGGATTACACCCTGAGTTCCAGCGAGCTCCGGCAGGTCCACGAGCCTGTCGTTCACCTCAAGCTGAACGTGAGAGATGTCGACCGAAAGCTAACGGAGCCCGTTGCAATGACGCTGTCGACGGAAAAGTTCCGTGTCTTACTTGCTGGTAAGGAGCGAGACATTTCTACGGCTTGGAGGTTCTGGGGTTGTTTGTATCTGCCGGAGCGTGGTGGGCACGGGGCAACCGCTCAGCTCTGATGAAAGAGACAGAATGTTCAGATTTCTTTTTTAAAATCTCCCAAGGCAGTAGAGAGAGCAAGAGGCCTGAACCCCTCACCCTTCCCTCTGCCTCTTTCCTACGTGCCACTTTGCAGAGGGAAAAGGAAGCCAGGAGTCAAGGCTGCCTTATCAGATAGCAAGGAAAAATATGTTTTTAAAAAAGGAACAAATGTTAGGGTTTGTTCTTTAATCGTCTAAACAGGGATGCAGCAGAATTCTGGTGAATTTGGACTTTCCACTGTTTTGGTGGCATCATGGAGAAACCCCGTCCCTTGTCTCTGTCTGCTTAATCCAGTGTTTGCTGTTAATCCTTGCTGGCTGGGGAATTCTGGGAGTTGAAGTCCACCCATCTTCAAGCTGCCAAGGCTGAGAAACACTGGATTAATCTCATTCATGACAGGCCAGAGAGCAGACCCTTTGAAATTAGGAATTTCACGGCAGCAAAGGCAGTTCCTGAGGGTCATGCGGTCTTAAGCCCCTTGAATGTAGTTACGTTCCTTTATTCTATTTTAATCTCCTACTTTCCCTCCTCAGAACTAAAACAGGCTCAAGCCATCATGAAAACGCTCGAATGAGGACGCAGCGGATACTACCAAGACTGGAAGAAACTTCATTTTGTCCCCCGGCCAAAATGTCTCCACTGGAGCGTTATCTCACAGCCTGTGAGATAGAAGCAAAGTGGCCAGATGTTGTTAAAGTACATTTCCCAGTAGCCCAGGCCAGCAAAGCCACTGGGGAGATTCTGGGAATGGTAGTACAGAGACCTCTGGGTCACAGGCTTCCAACCCTCTGCCTTAGGAGAAGTCTATCTGTTCTTTTCATTTGCGCATGAGTTGTCAAGGGGAATGTAGCACAGATTTGAAATATGAAAATGCTCCCTCGTGTTTTTTCTGTACTTTGTCGAACGACAGATAATTAAATCACACAAATGTGGGGAAACCTGCCTTTGTCAAGTCTGCGTATTGAGTAGAGCTACAGCTTACTGTTTTTGGTTAGAAATGAAATAAAAAACAGCCTAATCTTTGTTTGTTTTTAAGGTTTGAGTCCCAAGCTAGGTATGTAAGCAAATTTGTTTAAATCGGTGTTTCTGAACCTCGAC